GGGGCGAGGGGCCGGGTCGCTGCCCGGGCCCGGCACCTGACGGCGCGGCGGGAGATGGGTAAACAAGGCAGTAAAACTCGAGGGTTGTTCGGGGAAAACCGGACGAGGACAAGACTGCCGGGGGTTTCGGAGGGAGGGGGGTCTCTGTGAGAAGGTACAACTCGTGTTTGTAGGGGAATTGTAGGGAAGTTGTGGCTCTCTGCGTGGTTTCGGATTCACCCTGTCCCCCTGGCAGGATACCATGGAGAGAGAGAGAGCTGGCCTCTGGCTGAGGGTGTCAGGGGTGTCTTCAGGCATGGAGAGTCTGAAGCCGACATTAAACTCAGAATACAGCCACCACCCGCTTTCCTCGGTCACGAAGGGAGTCAGATTCTTCAGCCTTCTGAGTGGGGTTTTCAGGAAGGTGCTGAAGGCAGCTGTCCCCTCAGTCCTGTCCTCGGGTGGGCTGTGGCATTGAAGGCAGCTGTCCCCTCAGTCCTGTCCTCGGGTGGGCTGTGGCATTGAAGGCAGCTGTCCCCTCAGTCAATGCTCTCCTCGCGTGGGCTCTGGCGTGTCTGGTGAGCCTGTGGGTTGATTCCCGCTGTGGCTGGTATGGAGGAGGTGTGACCGCCATGTGGCAGGGTGCTGGGGAGAGAAAAGTCTGCATCCCCTTGGCAGTGAGTGCCTTACAGCATCGTCTGCCTGAAAGCAGGTGGATTTTGTTGTTGCTGCTGCTGCTTAGCCTTTCCTTTTGAGCCAGTGTCAAGGTTAGACACAAAAGTCTCATTTCAGCAGTGTGATCTGTTACAGAGCTTGGTGGCTGGTTTGGCCTGGAGTGGAAGCTAGCGATGGGCTGTGTTTGTTTATGAGAATACCTTGCAAGTGGCTTTCTTGCAGGATGTAACAACCAGAATATCTTTTTATCCTTTGCTTTGTGGCCACCTCTGGTGTGTGATCCTAGGCTTGTTTCCTCTCCTGACATCCCCCTTGGAGGGGGAATGCGAGATTCTCGGTCGCCTGCAGGATTGTGCTGTCTTAGGTTGGATGTAGATTAGAAGCAATGCATTCTCAAAAAGAGAGTGTAATTCTTACGTAATGTGTGAGGCAACATATCGCTCCATGGATCTAGGAGTGTTGCTTCAGACTTGTACTGTATTTGTACATCTGTTAACGTGTTTTTGAAGTCCATTGTTGAGCTATTAAGACAGGCTGGAACAAGGCTGGCATCTTTGGGACCACTGGTATTGGTACACTGGGAACCAAGGTATTCAAAGAGTGTTTTCAGCTGTCTGCTGCCATGGAGTCTCCAAATATCTCATGCTTTTTCATGCTCACTCAGTTTACTGCAGGAGTTGGTTGAGTGACAGGAAAGATCCTAACAGTGGGATAAACAAAATAATAATAAGCTTCTACCTTATCCAACGTCCGCGTAATCTGCGGAACATGAAGAAAGTAATGGCTGGGAGCTCTATAGATGCTTCTTAACAGTGTTGCAGCTGCAGTTGTGGGCTTTCTGGGCTGAGTCAGGGCTTGACAAAGGCAGGAGAGCGAGAAGAATACAGTCTTTTATATAAAGATGTGAAGTGGGGGTAAAGCATTTTTCAGGCCAATTTTGTGGCCTGAAATACAAGTATTTGTGCTATTTTTTTTACTATATAGCATTGCATGTTCTCTAGGGTGCTTTGAGGCTGCAGCAATTGTGAACGCATTCGGCGCTCCTTGTCTAGTGAGGAAGGTATTCAGGTCAAAGTTACTGCAAACCAATGTTTCTACTTACTTTCTTCTAGGCTTTTGGACAGATCTGCTTACTGCCTATCTTAATAAGGTAAGAGTGGGGAGTTTTCTCCCCCTCCAAGTTTCTTTTTTTTTTTTAAAGATTCTTGCATTACACACCACTTGCGCATTATCTGAAATCACCTTTTCTAAGAGGGAAGCTGCATAATTTGATGGGTGAGCAAGATTGTCATAGATGTTGTTTATTAGATATTTTTTTTAACTACTCTGGTTTGAGTGGGTATCAGAAGAGATTAACCTTTTTTCACACTCAGGCAAATGCATGGAAGCTGAATTTGCCAACTTACCTCTTTGCCTTTCTGTTATTTTGCTAAAGAGCAGTCTTTCTTTCAAAGCTTGTGGATGTGCAAATCTGCTGTGTTTATCACCAGTATAGTAGTCATGGGAAAATGAGGCCAGACCTGAATTTCAGAGGTTTTGATATGTTCTTTTTAAAGATAGTCACTATTTTAGGTCAGCCTTTTCTCCTTCTCTCTCACTTACATTTTTGTCAAAACTGTGCTTTCAAGTGTACATTACACTAAGAGCCACTCAGGCAAGAGGTGTCGGGAACCTCAGGCTCACGCTTGGCTCGCATAGTTTGCCCGTCATTTGATGGGTCATCTGTGCAGATCCCAGCACACTGAGAAATGTATTAAACACAATTGGTACCCCTGGATTTTTACTTGGGGCATGGGCTTTTTGAGTGAATCAAACTCAGACAAGTGTCACTGCTGTTATACATCCTTCCTTGACATGCATGATAGGGTCTTAATTCCCTTGCATCATTACGTGTTCCAAGCCCTGGACTTGTGCTGCAATCCCTGTTGTATTTGGTTGCAAAATAACTATGTTGAAGTAGGTCATGGAAAAGTTTGAAGAGGTGCTTAACAGGATTAGCGCTTGAATATATGGCTTATACTACTTTCTCCTTTTCCTCTCCATTCCTGTCTTTGTTGCTCTGTGGGTGATATGTCTAATTTAAGTGAATCGAAAACTTTCACCAGTTCTTTCCCAGCTTGGGTTTACTGAGGCTGGCTGGCCTTATGTCAAGAGGTAGGAGGCTTTGTTAAGCAAGCCGAATAGATTTGATCCTGCCTTTAGGAAAGGTGTGAGAGATTATCTTGTAACTGTTGCAACTCCCTGCTGTGAGAGCAGACTGCTAAGACAAAATGTTCTTGGGTAAGGTTCCCCCTGAACAGTCTGAAAAATTAGTCATGGTAGAGCTTGCAAACTCTAGCAGTGACTCTCTGTCTTTCAGGCTGAACAACTTCTCGCTCATGCGTTCACTTGACATTCACGAAGATCCCACATTTATTCCGGAGGTTGCTGCAGAGGTTACGGAAGACAAGTCTGAGGCTAAAAGTACTTCAGATATTATCGAGCAGCTGATAGATGTGAGGTCAGTATGTGATGTGTAAGAGTGGAGTGGAAGAACACATGTGTTAGCACTATTATATTAGTGGGAGGCTGTCATTGTCAGTAAGCTGGATTAAAATCTTTTTCCACGCCTGACTACTTTACCATACAAATTGTGCTGTCAGTCATCTTTCCTTTTGTAACTTATAAATCGCCAGTAGTTACAGGCAATGTGTAACTCTACAAGCTTTAGGGAGTCTGCATATTTGGGAGAGACCAAATCCTGCCCTTGCCAGGGCTCTGGTTGAACTATTATAACAGATACACTTAGTGGTTGACTAGTCAGCACATAAATCCCTTTAAGTGAGTTTTCAGGTACACTGTTTCTTGCCTGCAAGGAATCTCAAAGAGAACACCAGTGTTGCTTGGAGGAGGGAAGGAACACAGGTTATAAAGAAAACAATCCACAAGAAATTAGGCTTTGTTAGTTAGGTTGCTTGGATAAAAGCCTGTTCAGCTTCTTGATTGCAGCCTGTACTTGATTAAATCCCATGAGATTCCAGGTGAAACACTACTCAGGCTTGCATGTCTCACTGAGGTCTGGTGCTGAGGTGGGAGCACTTGGGCTGCTATGAATGCTTTTCCCATCTGGTTTTGTTCTTAGTTATGGGCCTGTACAGTAGTTACTGAAGGTGTCTATGAGCTGAACTTCCTCGGCATCGCAGAGAGTGGGTTCTCTGTATGTATCTTTGCTTTTAGCAAGACTAAGCTTGCTCCCTGCTTGAGTTATTAAGCTAGAGCAAGGAAAAACTTTTAGCTCCTTCACTTTAGAGGGAGGGATGTATTTCTGTATTTGCTGTAGGCATTGGTCAGGGTGAGTGCAGCCTTCTGGTTCTTGTGTCCCCAGCTCTACCAGTGATATATTACAGTGACTATTACAGGGCAGGTCACTGGAACCTTGTCTCTTCCCGGCATAGCACATTACAGTGCCATACACTGTCCTATTTCAAGGTATGGCTTCTGGGTTGGGTGATGATATGGAGACATCACAGGAGTAGTAATTGTAGCTAGTTCTTCAGATGAGTTTATGTTCATCCTCTTGTGATGAGAAATGGTTTATTTCTTATGTACTAGATCCATTGACTTTAGGTTTTAAGCAGTTTGTTGATGTGTATCCTTACATGCGCTGCGTAGTGCCTTTTCCCCTTCCTGCACCACGTGCTGTATGTGCTGCTGGCTATCTGGATCAAACTTGTGACAGAGATCCTGGAACTAAGTTTACCCGTATATTCTAGCTATGCTGTAATGGTGCAGTGGTGAGTAGTGGAAGTAAACCTGGAATAAATTTTGAACAGTTTAGTGACTGCTGTATTGCATTAGAAATATGAAGCAACTAGAACATGTCAGCAAGACCAACCCCTTATTTCTGTGGCACCCTTAGTGCACCTGGTGTCTTGCATGTGTGCAAGGAGCCTGGCAGAGCGTGCGCGGAAATGCGTAGGCTAGCAATCCCAATGGTGACCAGCAGGTTTACTGTGAGTGAGTGATGCCCAGCCTGCATTGGGCTGTGATACTGAAGCCTGCAGGCCTAAACAGAGGTGCTTTGACGGTTCATAGTTGTCCCTTTAATCCTTTCTTTGCAGGTTTGATTCTGTTAGCAATGGCTTTAGCTTCAAAGGGATCAAAGACTACCTGGACTGCTACCGGTAGGTGAAATTGTGTTCTGGGAACAACCTGTCTCACATGTTCCCCTGTTGTGGGCTGCTACTGTTCCACAAGTTCTTGGGCACCCCTTTCTTAAGATTGTCCTTGAGATACCACTGTTTAGCATCACCCTCTGCAGTCCTTTCCCTCTAATAGAATAATGAAGGAAAGCCAACTGGGAGAGCTGGCACAACTTTTACAAGCCCTGCAAGGATATTTAAATGCTGTTTTCTTTGGCTTATTGTCAGTCTTCTCTGGGAGAGATTTCTACATACCTTGTTTGCCCAAACACATGAGTGAGAAGGAGAGAAAGGTTCATCTGGAAGATGCGAGTTGCACATACTGTGGGTCTCTGAAGAATCCCTTTGTTCCCCAGCTGCTTGTGCTCCTGTGAGCAGTTTGACTGCTATCACCCAGTGAATGTGTCCAGTTTGGGAAGAGTTGGAAACACATCCCTGACTCTGAGGTTCTGTGAGCTGTTGGCCACTCGGTAACTCCTGATTGCCTCTGGGACGTGTGCCAGGTGTGGAGCGCTCAGATAAACCCTCTTGCGCTCCCGGCACTTGTTCCTCAAGGGCCGCCTCTGCTGCAGTCTGGTCTTATAGGTGCATCCTCTGGCTGTGAGGCTTTTGTGTCAGCCAGACATAGATGTGTTTGTGGTGCAAGGTAGCCTTTTGCCAGGAGCGAGGGAAGGCCTGTTTGTTAAGGCTGGATTATGACAGTACTGCTGGTGGCCCCTTCTCTGTTACAGGAGGCCTGTATAAAGGGGGCTGGCCTCTTGGTCTTAGCTCGTGATACTGGGAGTTTCATAGCCTGAGGCTTTCAGGAGCTTGAGGACTCTCTGTAAAGCTGTTGGTTGTCCTTGCCTGTTTATCTGGTGGTTGAGGAGTATCTGGGTAACTCTCCTAGCTCCTGCCCCTACTCTAAGGGTTGGGGACATGCTGCGTAGGCAGATTCTCCCCTTAAGGAAGGGAGTCTTCTGTCTTGCTAGTGTCAACTGTGTTGAAATCATCACCACACACAGATTCTTATCTAGTTCTTGCTTACGGCTGTGACAGCTGCCATCTTGCTACATGAGAGGCAAACCCTGCATGTGGATGTGGTGTGGGGGTCTTGTAACAGGGTCCCAACTTCTCCTGTCCTGCAGGAGTGGGAAGCTGACGCCATCTCAGGTAGCAAAGAACATCATTGCCACGCTGGAGGACTGCGACAAATCCACGCCCCCACTCAGAGCGATAGTGCAATGGGACCAGGAGCAAATAATGCTGGTAATGTCTGCCTCTGGTAGGAAAGGGGCCTCTGCCATCCCAAGAGCAGTAACATCCATTAGAAGGGGCAGAGGCTCTTCTGTTAATATATTGCACAGAAAAATATGTACATTTTTTTCTCCCTGCTTGTGTAGAGGACTGCAAACAAGTTTGCTTTCCTTCCTGTGAAGAGAAGTAGCATTAAAGCAATCTGTTTCCTGCTGGACGACTATGATTAAAATGGGACTTCTGTGCTTGTGTGGCACCCGTTAGCATAGATGCTTCCAAGTAGTAGTTTCCCATCAGCATATGGTGGAAGAAAGTAACTTTTATAGTTGGGCTTAGTAGCAGCCTGAGAAAGCCATTTTTGGTATCTGTTCTGATACTGGTAATGACCTTCAGCTCAACTAAATTATATATAATGTATACTTTTTTCCCTCTGTGCAGATGGCTGAGGCCTCCACTGCTCGTTACAAGAATAAATGTACCCTGTCTTATCTGGATGGCATCCCAGTGTGTCTGAAAGAAGAATTCAAAGTGGTGAGTTTCCTTGTCTAGCTGTCAGTTCGTGCTGCAGGTGGTCAACCTAGACAACTTACTGTGAGAGGGTTTTAAGGCCAATTCCTCAGCAGAAGGCTGAGAATACATTTGTAACAATGTGGGTTTGTAATGAGTAGGATTAACAAGTTTTGCCAGGTGAAGACAGATCAGCAGACGTGTTCCATATCTTGCACTGATCTCTAATCCATGAGGAGTAGAGGGTGGGGGTGAGAAACAGTCCCTCTTATGAAATGAGAATGTATAAAAGCATCTGTAGTGGTGGGTGTAACTGTATTTCTCGGGCACTGACTGCTCCACTGGAAAAGCATCCCTCTCTCCTTGCCTTAAAGGACATGTGTCAGAAATATGCAAGTTTCTTTGAAAATTCCCACTCACAATGAGTTTTGCCTGTGGCCTAACAACAGTTACCATTAAATACTCCTGGCAGTGCCGTCAAACTGTCATAAGCTCTGCAGAGACCTGCCCATAGGGTGGGAGTCCTGTTTATGTACAGATTCTTCCATTGCTGCATTGAAGTGAAGAATACTTAGCATACCCTGAAAATTAGTCCATCTGGTATTTTGGCATCCATCTAATCTCGGTGCTTTGCTTCAAAGCACACCACATCTGAAATGCTGCAGCTCTGTCTAGAAAAATGGAAAATAGAGCTCCTGTGTGCTGTGGGGCCAAGGTGACTGTTCTGGGCATAGTAATTGCATTGCTGCAGGGAGGCAGACTTTTGACCATCTACGTATTTCTGTTCTTCTGTATCATGGTATTAAAAGGACTCCTCTGCATGGGAAAAGGACCAAATATTGAAGCATTAAGTGTCTGCCCTAACAGAAACCAACACAGGAGAAGATGAAGAGTGAATCTTCCTAGCCCTTCCTTACCTCTCTGGGTCCTAATGTCTGGGATCTGTTGTGGAGTTGAAGTGTGCATGTGAAGCATGCAGATATGCCTGCCTACCTTGCCAGGGTTTTAGGATGAATAATGTGTCTTCTTGCTAAGGTACCTTACCATCACCGAGTAGGAACAGTGTATCTTGGGACAGAGCCTGAAACAGAAGATGCTACTGTGGCCAAGAAGCTGCGAGAGGCTGGGGCTATCATTATTGGGGTCTCAAACATGCATGAACTAGGGACTGGAACAACTGGATGCAACCCTAATAGGTAAAAATCCCTTTCCCCTTCTCTTTCCCCTGGAAAGACCTAAAAGTCTGTCCAGAACTGACAGAAGTGTACAAAAATAGGGCAAACATGAGAATAAAACTGATGGAAGCACCCTGTGCAGGGAGAACCCAGGGGTTATGAAAACCTAGCATTGTAGATTTGAGGGTCAGAGTAGCTGTGGAAGCCTGAAGGCTCCTGAAACCAAAGGAAGGAGAGGATCCAAGTGGTGTCTGCTAAGTAAGGAACTTGGTTTGCCAGGCCTTACAGGCCTGGAGGTGTGAATGTTTACAGGATGAGTGGTAGAAAAAAGCAGTGACAGAAAACAAATAAATAGTAGTCTAATGCTTAGTCACAATAGTGACTAAAGGCCCAAAACAGTGAGAAAAGGTACAGTCATCTTGGGAAAACATAGTGGTTTTTATTCCCTAGCTAAAAGAGGTTCACTGGAATTTGCTTTACTGTTGTGAATTCTCCAGCTATAGCCAAGCTGAGAACTGCTATTCCAGAGTAGTGGCCCTCACAGCCTTGATAAGCCATGTACAGAGCCACGCTTCATGCACATGCAGCTGGATGGAAGTGGGGCTTCCCCTCAGCTGCACCGACGTACCAGGGCATTTCCTCACTGGGTGAGGTCGGCTGGATACCCTGCTGCCTGGCAGGTCTCTTTGGTGTCTGGGGACTGTGGTCAGATTGGAGAGTTTGGGAGTTGCTGCTCTGGGATAAAGGGCAGAGCTGGGAATGCTGACTGGCTTGTCTGTAAGAATTGCTGGCCACCAACCGCTCCACCTTTTGGAATTGCATAATGCATTGTGGCATGCAGTAATGACAGTGTGCTGTTGTAGACAGAAGAGCAGGAGTGGCATCCTTTCTCTTGCTTTGAGTCTGTCTCTCTTGGATAGGCTGCTTACAGTAATGAGATTGGACTCTGAGGCACAAGTTTCTTTGCATCTTGTTTTCTAGGGGGATAGCACTATCTGGGATGAAAGGGAATCTCTTTACTGAGAGATTGGAATCCCTGAGCTCTGTTTTCTGGATCTTTTCCTGCCCTGTAGTGCACACAGTCCTTCCTAGGAAAAGATTCAACACTGTTTGTCTGCCTCAGGTACCACAAGATCCCTAGGAATCCCTACAAGCCAAACCACTTCACAGGTGGGAGCTCCAGTGGGTCAGCAGCAGCTGTAGCAGCAGGTAGGTGGTCCTAAACAGAGTTCAGGGGTGGTGGGAGGAAGGTCCTGAGCCAAAGTACTTACCTCAAGCATTTAGTTTTTATGAGTGGGTTTAGAAGCTGGAGGAAACTCCTAGCTCAATAGAGAGCTCTGTGTGCTGTCTTGGCTACAGCTGCTGGTAGAATGGACAGAGTAACATTATGTCTCTCTGATCACAGGCCAATGTGTGGGTTGGTTTTTTTTGGTAGGTCTCTGCCCGGTGGCTATTGGCACTGATGGAGGCGGCTCTGTGAGGATTCCTGCTTCATTCTGTGGCGTAGTGGGGCTGAAAGGTAGAGCGCTTTAATCATGATATCAGATAGAATGCCACAAACAAGTCAGGCACAATCCATTACTTCCTGTCAAACAAAACTCAACCAGAGAAACTCGAGTATAACACCCTGAGAGTCATGTGGGTTGGACTGGCAGAGTAGAAGTATTCTCACTACTGGCTATTGAACAGATGTTCAGAAAATCCTAACTTACTTGAGTTAAATGGTAAACAAAACATGCATGCTGCTTTTCTTTCTACCCACTTGTCCCTCTTCAATCTTCCTTCTTTGCTGGGAGGTGTTCTAAACATAGTCGGGTATCTGTAATGAGCTGGTGAAAAGCACCTCCACCTACGATGGTTTGCCATCACCCCAATTATAAATCTGAGCAGCATCAGCCTTTCCATGTATCTGGCAAGTTAAACCTGGTAATAGGCTTGTATGAAACCAGGATGTAGCCATTCCCTCTTACCTCAGTGTTACAAGAAGTAGCAATGCAGTTTTTGCAGTGAGCATTTAATCAAGGGGAACGTGCAGAGGGCATATGACACGGGACAGCGTCTGCAGCATGGAAGGTGGCAAGGCAGGATTGTCACTTGGAAGAGATGCCAGCTTTTGGGAATGGTTGATCATTCTGAAAGATCTCGGATGCTTCATCTGAGACCAGATACTCAGACATTACTCTATTTTTCCATCCTTCACATGTGCTCAACTTGATTAATCTTGATTCATCTGAGGAAGATGATGATGATGATGACAAAAACGTAACTGCTCAGAAAGGCGATACGAATACTCACAGAAGACAACTGGTGGTAGGCACAAAGTCTCACTGGTGAAGTGGATGACATCTCCCAGGGGGCTGATATCTCCTGCTGTTGATAATACTGCTCCTGCCTCTCCATCCTCCATACCATAGATGCTGCTTCTGCGTATTTAAATGCGTGTATTTCAAAATGTCCCTGCACATACTTACCCTCAAGTAAATAAAACAGTTCCACTACTTGTTGAATGCATCGTGGTCAGCAGAACAGAGTATTGAAAGATGAGTGACTGGGCTCTGAAAAAAGCAGACATAAAAGTGACTGGCAGGGGTGTGTTGCTTGCTGACTGGGTGACCCAGAGCCAGCTACGTCAGATCTTGCCAGCGACTGCTGATATTTAGCTAACTGCCCATTTCTTTTTCTCTAGGTACGTTTGGGCGCATCAGTTCTCATGGCAGCTTGCCGCTCTCCTACTCCACAGTCAGCGTAGGTAAGAAGACTTGTGCTCCACTTCAGGGACCTTGCTGTGTGATGTTCTCACAGAGGAGGCAGTCTGTGCCTGCAAAAGACCTTGGAGGGAAGGTACTATTTACCCCTTGTCACATTCTTATAACTGATCTCTCTTTTACAGGCCCTATATGTACCTCAGTGGCAGATGCAGCCATTGTTTACAGCATACTTGCTGAGCCAGATCCACTTTATCCATATGGTAGGTGAGCCCTCTTTCTCCCTCAGCCCAGGTGCTCTGCCTTCCTAGAGGCATCCTAGATAAAATGAGGAACTCTTGTTTGTTCCCTGCAGGACTAAACCAGCCCAAAGCCACTCTCTCTGATATGTGTGCTCCTGACCTGAAAGGCTTAAAACTGGGAGTGGACTGGACATTTTTTAAGGTGCCTGTTCTATCTCTTTCTGCTGCTTTGCAAAGTGATATTTTGAAGGAATTCAGTGTATTCCCTGTTCTCTTGCTTGTCATCATTAGAGCTTCTCATATTTAGTCCTATAAGTGGAAGAGAATACAGCCTGGGTGAAAACATTGACAGGGATAGACTTCGATTTTTTTTAATCCCATCCCCCCCCCCCCCCCAGGCGCCCTTTTTTTTAACCCCCCCCCCCCCCCCCCCCAAGGCAGCCTTTTGAGTAAAAGCCTGTTGGTGGCATGGAGAAAGGTAACTGTACAGTTGATAGCAGTATGCTTCCTCATACTGCTGTTTCTATTGGAAGCAATGCTTCTGAACTGATTACAAAAGGCAGTTAGTTGAAAATCAAATGAGGAAAATGAGTGTATCAGTTTGGTGACAATGCTGTAGCTGCTGAGTGGTATTTCATCATTCCAATGTAGAAACTGGGCTTGCAAGCTAGTACTGCTGGGCAATTGTAATGCAGTCCCACAAACGTGCTCAGGATTTCTTCCGTGGAGGAAAACAAGGATGCTTTCTGGCTCTGCCCCAGCACAGAGGAGGAATATCCTCTCCTCTGGAAAAGATGACCTTTCCTTTTCTGTAGGAGTATGACCTGCAAGTTATTTTCTTGGAATAGGCGGCCTAAGGCAGTCCTGGAGGGCTGTGTTTCACTACCATTAGGGACAGGAACCAGGAAAGCTCCATGAGGACCAAAGTCCTGGTGAGGACTCACCAAGGAGAGGAGGGCAGTTACTAAAGTCTATTTAGTTCTTTCTCTTTTTCTCTAGGCATGTGATGCTGAAGTCCTATCTGTCTGTGAGAAAGGTAAAGAGGAAAAGTCTCTTATTCTGCCTGATGTCATGGTATCACTTGGTGCCCCTCTTATGTATGCATTAAAAAGATCTCGCCTGAAGTCCTTAAAGGCAGATGCTTAAAGAGGTCTGGCTTGACAAACAGCAGTAGCTTTGTATTAGGGAAACCCTCCTGACTGTTGAGGGTTAAAAAGCTTGGCAGTTGTAGGCTTGTCAGGTTAAAATGGAAGAATGCAGTCCAGTGCGCTAACCCTCTGTCTGTATAAAGACAGATCTGTGCTCAGTAATACTTACTCTGCAAGTTTTAATGGTAAAAGACTTTTTAAGGGAGGGACTTGTTTCACAACATAATGTTCAGTAGGAAAGACAGGGCTAGGTCTTTGTGATGTATCCAGTCCTCTGGTATTTCCCTGAAATCAGCCAAATGGTGACATTAGGGTGGCTTTAGACTAAGCAAAATTGACCCTGGTGATTACTTGGGGGTGGGGGAGAAAGATTCTACAATGCCTGGTATAATAGTTGACCTCCTATGCATTGGAGCTGAGATAGGTCACACTATTCAGGCTTTGTTTGCCTCGATTTGCTTGAGCCTCCTTATTTCCATAGAGGACTACTACATGTATAGAGTGTTCTTAGGAGAGATGCACCATAAGCCAGTGAAATAGGCAAGCTTGGATATTTATGAAGAAGGTGGGGTCAAAGAAAGAAGGCAATTCTTTTTAGACTGCAAAAGATTAACTTTTTCTGAAGTCTTAGTGTTCAGCCTTGCTAGAGTGTGTCAGGATTTAGTGAACCTGTACTGTTGACCTGGTCTGAGTATCCCCTGGGTTCTTCTACCAAAATGGATCAGAAGAGGCTTTGAGTGTGAATCTCATGATGCTAAATAATCATTTCATGCTGATAGAATACCAGTCACATCAAGTGCCCAGGGAAGCATTGTTAGACCACCTTCACTCTTTGGGTTAACTGGGGGGGTTGAGGGAGGAGATGAACTTGCCGAAATGTAGCAGGTAAGTTAGGAACCTGTCTGCAAGCCTCTGCCCTGTTGGAGTACTGAGATCTAGTTAGGCTGAAGGCTTTTCCCTATAACAAGCAGCTGTAGCAGTCCGCATGCCACCGAAAAGGCTTGCCTTGTAATGGCCTATGGGGCCTCTAACTTCTTAAGGGGGTGGGGATTTGCAGCCCTTCTATGAAGTTTGCTGAACTCAAAGATGCTGTCTGTGCTTTACCTGTTCTGTACTCAGCTGTGGAGCACCTGCAGACTTTGGGAGCCAGTGTGGTTGAAGTTTCTCTTCCAGAAATGGAGGAAGCGCGAGTAGCACATGTAATCTGCATTCTCAGTGAGATGAGGGACTTCCTGCAACCTGACTTCAACAAACATTTCCAGGATATGGTAAGCAGCAGCTTGGATCAGTGGCAAGTAGTTGTCCCGGCTGATACAGAACAAGTGTCATATGCCATTGGGTGACTACTGATACAGGAGAGCAGACCTGGAAGAAAACTCCATGGCTGTCACATTCAGTTTCTTGCAAGCAGACCCATCATCGATGTTTTCTCTTTCAGAATTTGGACACTCGAGCTAATCTGACCTTGGCTTCCCAGTTCACAGCTCTGGATTATATTACGGTAAGGAACATACTGTGGTGAAGGCCAAGGGTAGACACCTAGTGAAATTGTAAAAGTGGGGTAGAGGATTCTCTTAACCTCCCCATGCACGTGGAGAGGTACCACCCAGCTGTACTGCCCTCTGCTGTGAAAGCGTGCAAAATGGTGGGGCGCCACAGAGGATGTGTCATGTGGATGGATGTCCTGCATGTTGATTCCAAACTGCAGGAAAGGTGTCGTCTTTTGCAGAGGCATAGGCTCTGATGGGCAGAGTCTGTCATCATCAAACATGAGCCTCATGAATCAAGAGCCTGGTCAGACTGTAGGTCTCTCTGTTTGCAGGCAAATCGACAGAGAACTCGGAGCATGAGATTTTTGCGAGAGATCTTCACCACTGTGAACTGTATCCTTACACCAGGTATTGCCAGCCTTGGCCAAAGAGCTGGTCCCTGACAGCTGTGTGCTGCATTTTAAGAACAGTTACTCCATTAACTTTCCCTCCCCAATTTTAAGAGCATGATTTTTGTGCAAAGACTTTGCTGTGCCTCAAGCCTTTAGAAGAAAATGCAGCCTAGCTAGAAAGACTGCTGTGTATTTCTAGATTTGCTGTGTATTTCTAGACTTCCTGCCTATATCCATGGCAGTGAGAAACTTCTCCTTGGTACTTGAAACAGGAGCTGCAGAGCCAGCACAGTACAGAGGAGGGACTGGACATGTACTTATGTGTGAAGATGTTCTTGCTCTAAATAGAAACTAACTGCTTAATTCATAAATCCCAGTGACTTGATTGCGTTCCAAGGATGTGAGTTTGCATCACCAATGTATATCAAACGTGGCTTTAATGAACTGAGCTGTTCCTTGGAGACTCCCCACTGCCTGACTCTTCCTTTGCTCTTTAACCACTGGATCAGGTTGCTCAGAGAGGCTGTGGGATCTCGATCCCTAGGGATATTCAAAAGCCATTTGGACATGGTCCTGAGCAACCTGCTGTAACTGTCCTTGAGACAGAGGGTTAGACAAGATGACCTCCTGGGGTCCCTTTCAACCTCAATCATTCTGTGATTCCTCCACAGCTGTTGCTTGCACTGCCCCAAGAATCTATGAATCTGACCTTTTGACTGGGAGCAGCAATTTGTCCTTCACAGTCCGGTCCATGAGGTAAGAAGAGTGCTGCTTGCACTACGGAAGCAAAAGTTTGGGCACAGCTGGAGACTAGCTGAACTAACTGAAGGACCTCAGGCTGTAAAGCAGGAGATCAATTCTAGCCGCCTCTCCAAAAAAAAGGATGACTTTGCTGCTGTCCCAAGGCAGAAATGCTGATGACAGCTCTTCCCCCAGGTTCATGCAGCTTGGTAACTTCACTGGGATTCCAGGCCTTGTGGTCCCCATTGGATATTCTACTGCTGGGCTTCCTATCAGCTTCCAGGTAAGCATTGGCTCTTTGCAAGTGCTGGGTCACAAAATCCCCAGCTGGTTTTGTCCTGAACCACTATAACCAGGTTCCTACTGTTTGACATTGCACACTTGAGGAGTTGGCAGGTAATAAAGTTTTAACTTGTGGGTGAAGAGACTTGCCTCAGAATAACTCACTCCTGAGTGGCAGAGGGACTCTTGAGGTATCTGGGAGATGATAGATTTCTGTCTCCCTATTTGCATCAGTACCTACTTTTTGTTATTACTATTATTTCCTCTCTTTTCCTTATTTCTCAGTTCTGTAACTTAAGTCCTTCCTTGCTCTTCTCCCTCCTGAAATGAGTCTCATGTAAATGAAAGGTCCATGTCTTGTAATTAAAAGTCACACAGCTGCCTTTATCCCAAATGCAGTGATGCCATACTTACTGGGGTAAAAGGGAAAAGCATGTGTCCTTCTGGTGCTGCTGGGGGGAAAAAAAAGAGTTATGTTGTACAGGGCTTTCAAGAGCAGTCTGTATGTGATGATGCTACTTTTTTTTTACTTTCTTCCCCCTCCTCCTTTCTGTGTCTGCCTCTCTCATCTTCTCCTAGGTCATGGCCAAATGGTGGGATGAAGCTGTTCTTCTGAGGATTGGCCTGAAGCTAGAGCAGTTTCGTTACCAGACCAAAAAACCATCCATTTATTATGACATCCTTGCATGATGGAGTGACCAAGATGGGCAATAAGTCTTTTTTTCCTAGTCTGACCTGACCAAGTATTAAGAGTGGACTTGTTTTCAATGTTCATCTGAATAAGGCTTAGTAGCAGGCCCATTTAAGGAATGGGAAGGAACACTGATCTAAGCAGGCACTGATGCTGAGCAGACATCATTTCTGCTCCCTGTTTGTTATTGGATGGTCAAGTTTATATTGGGGAGCCCAACAGTGCTAGCTAGTTCCTCACTGTGTTTTTGCCAACAGAGGAAGCTGCAACTATCTTCTGCAACTTCTTTCCATGTAAGGGTCCTGTGTAGAGATGGAAGACAGATGCATCTACAGGACTGCATGTGGGCAGTTCGTGCTACTGTGTGTGCATGGACAGGTAATCCCTAGACCTTAAACCTTCTCAACAGAGCTCCTCCTGCTCCAGGATATAACAAAGGTACTGTTTTGAGGGGGAGAGGCAGCTTCTCTTAAGAATGCAGCTCCCTTGGAATGAAGAGGATCTTAACACACCTGTAATTAGGTAGTGTGTGTTGTGGCCCTTTAGTCCTTTGGAGCAAAATAGAAAGCCTATAGCTATGAAGTGACACTGTGCTTCTGTCCTTTATGCCGCAAACAGCGTAAGGTCAGCCGGACTGTTGCACAAAGCATGGGTGTGCTCGCTGCATGAACGGTCCTACCTACCTTCAGCCTTACATGTAAGGGGAGGAAAAAGCAGAGCATGAACCCTCACCAGCTCTGTGACCCATAGCTCTGGTTCAGGGTTCTGGCTTTCTGTTGCACATCTCTATTTCTCAAGCTAAATGTTGGAGAGCCTCTTTTCTCCCAGTGGTTGCATAAGTATAAGCCTACTATCATGTAGGTGTCCAAATGGAAGAAAGTACTTTGTAATAGCTGCCTCAGCCCCTCTTAAACAGTATTTCACAGCATTAACAACAAACAGCTGAAATTTGTAGGAAATTGAGCTACCACAAGAATTGAAGCTGGGTGCAAGAAAGGTGTTGCATGAAGCCATGTGCAGCAAAGAGCCTGCTCTAGATAAGAAGCCAACCCTATCTTATCCCAAACGTACTTCCTGAAGTAATCAAGGTAGAATTAAGAAGTGGATTAAAGATGAGGCTATTCTACATAAAGTATGACATGGCTCTAAGCCACAGTACTGCATTTCATTGAAAGGCTCCAAACTGTAAACTCCCTAGTACCTGTGTCCTGACAGCACCACTAGGGCCACATGAAAGATAAGAAAGGCCTAGGATTAACCAAAACTAAGCATCTGTGTTCATTTTGGAGTAGCTTGGGATTAATGCTTAGAGGCATCTCCTGTTGCCTACCTCATCAAGTATCCTGGGCTTGTGATCACGCTGCTGGAGAAGCTGTCCCAGACAGGAACAGAGAAGATCACTGTATTCTTACTTAACTTGGAAGGAAAGAAGGAACGCAAAGTATTGCAGTTTCTCCCAAACTCAGTCCAGTTTGGTTGGGTTTTTTCCCCTCATATGAACACAGCTAGCACTTCACTACTGGCTAAAACTAAGTCAGATAGCATCTGAATGGAAGAACATTGCATTGCCATCTTCTCCTTAATTATGTGATTAAAGCATCAATGCCTACCCCCTCATACGAACACAGCTAGCACTTTACTACTGGCTAAAACTAAGTCAGATAGAGAGCATCTGAATGGAAGAACATTGCATTGCCATCTTCTCCTTAATTATGTGATTAAAGCATCAATGCCTACCATCAGCTGTCACCAGCATCCACAGTTAAATTAATTATATGATTGATGATACTGTCTTTTATCTTTAATTCCTCAATTGTGATACTACCACAATTATTTTTTCACTAATTCTAGTATAGTTCAGCTTTATGAAGAACAGTTTAAAAGCAAAGTATTTCCTCTATTATTAATGATAAATTATTAAACACTACCAACATACCTCGGAGTGAAACACTGCTGAAATGCATTGTATAGCAGTAAGGGAGTTGATAAGTGTTTGCTTGAAGAAATTTATCCTTGTCAGTAACATTACAGCTTGAAAGGAAATGGCTGAATATTCCCTAATTTAGTGCTACTACTTAAGGGATTAGAGATGGATGTTTAAAATAATTACCATCCTTGCTACATGGAGCTATTTATTTCAAATCCCTTCCTCAATGATACACTACCTTAAAATTACAATTTCAATATTTAGTTCATTCCCTGGGCAGAGCGAGGGAGCTCAAGTTACTAAGAGGAGAGATAGGAGCTAAAGATTTTTTTGAAATAACAAACTAATACTTGCATCGTGCTAACAGCAGGAAGATGAAAGAACTGAGAGCTTTTACTGACTGACAGTAACTTAGTCTGTCCTTCCCCACACTGCTTCCTCCCTTTCCCTAAACTGGTATCACATCAGTGCACATTTCGAGTGCAAGACTTCCCTGGTACTGAGGTTACTAATATAAACTTCACTCATCCTGGTGAAAGGCCACTGTGTTTCCTTTCTTCCCCTGGCTGTTGGCTTGTCGGAGTTCTACAGCAGCCCAGTTCCTAAAGAACAGCAGTTCTACCCGCACAGTATGCAATAGCAAGGCAGTCGTGTGAGCAAAGCGGACACAGTGACCACACACACACTCCTGTTGCTTCACATAGATATATGTATGGATATAGATATACGGTATATACACATTGATTTTTTTTATATATATATAAAATAACACCTTGTTTATAAAGCAACATTTAATTGCCACTGGTTCCCTTCCCGCCCCACAAAAACAATAGTATACAAAATATAAAATATTTTAAATATTTATAAACGCTGCAAGAAAAAAATAGAACTGTACGAAAATATTTTTTTTTCTGAGGTTCCCTCACTGCCCTGTGGGAAGGGA